TTACTTCTCAAATCAATCAGATTGAAAGTAGATTACAGCTCTGAAAGGAGTGCATTCCTCAGTCTGGAAACCACACAGGGAAAGGCCCTTTCTCATGTCCTTTTTCGGTCGGCCTCTTAAACTGATTACATTTCTAAACGGGCCTATCCTAAAGATCTCAGTATCTGGGGAGGTCCATAAGGAGACAGTCAGTCCTTTAGATAGCCAGGACCCAAGCCATTTAGGGCGTTGAAGGTTAAAATCAACACATGCATTGGGCCTGATAGACAACTGGAAACCAGTGCATGTCTTGTAGTATCAGAATCATATGATCACAATTCTGTGCACCAGTTAGCAACCTAGCTGCTGCGTATTGCAGTAATTGAAGATCCCAGACTTTTTTCAAGGGTCATCCCACTCATCCCACACTGAGCACATTGCAGTAGTCAAGGCATGTATGATAGTTGCTAAGTCAAATCAACTCAGTAAAAGTTGTAGGCGACACACTAAGCAAAGTTGTACAAAGGTACTCCTCATCACTGCTGCCACTTGAAATCCAGTACAGTGAAGAGTAAACGAACTCCGAAGAATACGAACCTGAGATGTTCTGACAGAATGCAGCCTTTTCTAAAACAGGTTGCATCCTAACTCCTGAACCTGGCTTTCTACTGAAAAACAGCAGCACGTCTGCCTTGTCAGGATTTCGTTTCAGCTTTTTCATTCTCATTCAGCCCATTATTGAACTCAAGCAGCATTCAGTGGTCTTGACTGCTGTCATTGTGTTGGGTTTAAGGAGCAATAGAGCCAGGTGTCATCAGCTTACTTGGTGGCACTGAGCTCCAAATGACCTCTCTCAGTGTTCTCGTATAAATGTTAAATAATATACAGAATAAGGGATGGCAAAGGCCAAAGTCTATATATTGAACATTGCTCCTCCAACATCTCTTTTTACATCCTTTCCGACAGAAAGGATTGGAACCACTGTAATAGTGGGCTCCAATATCCAACCTTACAAAGCAGTCTAAGAGGATACATTGCTCAGTGATTTACTGAGTGCTGCTGTAAGGTACAGGAAAACTGAGAAGGTTTTGCTCCTCTTATCCAATTCCTGACATAGATCATCCACCAAGGAGACCAAAGTAGTCCCATATCTCAAGGAAAAAGCCAAATGAAATGCAGTTAGACTGCCATTTCAATCTCTTTCAGTCAGCACCACGACTGTTTTGGATGATGGAAGTTATATTCCAGCAACATTTGAAAGATCACAGGTTCTTGGACCCTGCTGGATTGGTAGACTTAGTAAGTCATTATTAGCAAATGATTTTATTAATACAAAGGTCTCTGAGTGTTTCTCCTGCTTCTACTACTCTGCCCTCCTTTCAATTTCTTCCATGACCTGAGTGTTAAATTCAGTTTTGATACTTTACTGTGAGACTGGAGCAGAAAACTGGAGCCTGCCTACAGCATAATTAGTTTTGGTCTTCTCCTCTGCCTCACCCGCTGTCCTGAAGACATCAGGAGATGAATATAGGTGCAGCCCTCAATCTCTTTGGTGTCTACTGAGCTTTTCTGTGTAAATAATAATATTGGTGCTTTCATAGGCCTTTCACTTCCAGAGTTAAATCCCTTTTTTCAGTGAGCTGAAGCTCAAAGATAACATTGTTTGGGAGGAGGCGAATAAATGATGTCATGCCCCCTTAAAGACCTACAGTACCCTGTATTTGGGATAATTTTTTTGTGAACTTCATCTCACTTCATCAGTCTATTTTGAGTCTAGCCTCCACTGGCCAAGGATATCTGCTGCAATATTGCCGCTATTAGGTAACCTTAGCCAGTATTTAGGGTGGGAGTGAGCAGGACCATCACTTAGGCCCGAATGCTAACTTTACCTTTGCATGTTAACATTTTGATAGTTGGAAATGAATCACTGTGCTCTGAAAGGCAGTATTTTTGTTCTGTGTTTTCTATGTTTTCAAAAAACATGACTTACAAGACTCTGTGCCACAGGTTCAGTCAGCTTAGATTTGTACTTTTAAAAGAAAGCTGGAGTTTCTTGTAGGTAAGCTGTATCCAGTGACAGGTACAGTACATACACAGAATTAGAATCAGCCTGTTATATTGAGGGCTTGCTATCCAAATGGAAATGGCAGAAAGAAATATAAGTTACACATACAGTGGTGCCCCGCTTGACGACGATAAATCTGTTCCAGGAAAATCGCTGTTGAGCAAAATCGTCGTCAAGAAAAAAAATTGAATGCATTGAAAACCAGTTAATGCGTTCCAGTGGGGAAAATACCTCATCGTCCAGCGAAGATCCTCCATAGGGGAAGCCATTTTCGATCGCTGTCTTGTGAAAATAGGTCCGGAAAACAGCAGGGAGCCATTTTGCGAACCACTGATCAGCTGTTTTTAATCGTCGTCTTGCGAACAGTTGGTTTGAGAAACAGGGACCTAATCATCGTAAACTGAAAAAAACCCATAGGAACAATCGCAAAAAAATCATCGGTCAAGCAGGGTCGTCATCAAGCAGGGTCGTCGTCAAACAGGGCACCACTCTAATCATTAGATGTAGATGTGTATTGTCTCATTGATGCTAAAATATAAGGTAGGGTAGGAAATACCCTGAAAACTCATTCTCATTGCCTACCTGGGGCGGGGGGAGGGGGGAAAGTCCTGAAAACACATGGAGATCACCAAACTTTTTTCCTCTCTCCTCTGATTGAAAGTATAAATTAGGAGTCATGATATAATTCTTGTAGTTGAAGAAGAACAGTATCTTCTTGCAAAATGGGGCACAGTTCTAAAGTTTTCACTTTCTAGTGAAGTACACAGTATTAATATTAGGAGAAAATACAGATTTTTTTAAAAAAATTTGAGGTATAAAAAAGTGTAGTTGTGACATACGAGGGGGTGCTGATACGTATTGAGCCTTTCCCAGAAAAAAATGAGCTAGGAAGCTATAAGTTGCAGGGTTTATTGGCCAATTTGTCTGTATTCAGTGGCGCAAAAATCAATTACCTATGATTTTAACTTATCTTTCATGTTCAGGTCCAAAGTGAACATGGCAGCACCTCCAGAAAAGTTCAGTGTGGGAGAGCATAGAACCATAATCAAGTTCCTGTTTCTCCAAGGGAAAGGTGCAAAGCAGATCCATGATGAAATGTCACAAACTATGGGTGACTGTGGCCCTTCATGTGCAACAGTAGAGCCTTATGTGCATACCCATGCCCCTGTCATCCATTTTATACTGCATGTGAGCAGCTGAATGCCTGGGCAGGGCTAAACAGTGTTTGTTAATTTTATGGCCTTCATCCTATGGTGTCATTGTGTTGATAAAATGGCTACTGTTAGCAGAAAATGAAGAGGTGTAATCCCCCCCCCCCAATATATGCCATCAATATTAGCTAGCTCTTAAAGGTGAAGAATCTCTCTGGAGCAGATTTTGAGATGGCTACACAGAAGGAGGAAAGAGGGAGAAAGTCCTGTTGTACTTCTACTAGTGCAGCACTGAATTTGAGACTGTAGTTTTATTCTTCTCATGCTATTGCTGTACTATTGTTTTTCCCCCACAGTCAAATTATGAATGTTATTAAGGTTTCAAAAAAGAAACCCCACTTCTTACCTAACAGTCTGCTTATTTTATTTATAGTAGGACAGAAGCTTAGTTCAATAAATTTTAGTCAATCGTATCTTTTCGCTCTTTGAGTCATTGGTTTCAATTTGCATGCATTTGAATTAAAAGCAGCATTTCTGAAGCAAAAAGTCTTCTTGGTTTTATACAGTGCATGTATCTGTCAAAGCAACTATCAACTTAGAAGTTGATTCCTCCTGTGTAAGAGAGAACAAACTGCTGAATAGCTCAGTGGTTTAGGCATCTGTCTGTAGAGCCAGAGGTTGGGAATTTGATTCCCCCCTGTGCCTCCTTGACAGGGGCTGGGTTCAATGAACCATAGGGTCCCTTCCAGCTTTGCAGTTCTAAGAGGATGATCATCATCATCATTAATGCATTCTTTGAGATAGACCTTGCCATCTGTAGATTTTAACAGTGTTTTTAAAAAAAGAAAAATAGAAGTGCATGCTCTGATTTGAAATTGCTACTCAATTACTGGGGCTTGTGTTTTAGTTATCAGAAGAGTTCTTGATCAGTGACTAATGTTATTGTCGCCCCAATTTATGATAGTTAGCTAGCACAAGTCACAGGCGAAAATGGATTTCTTTTCTCCCTTGTATGAAACACAGCATTTAGCGTTTAAGTGATTGGGGTGAATCCAAAGAACTATGATCAGAGAAGAATAGCCACTTGCAGTGTTCTGAGAAGTTTGCGTATGCATGGGTGGAAAAGCTTTCACAGTTTAGGTAGTACCGTTCATACAGTAGTATGGTGGTGCCCCACAAGACGAATGTAATTCGTTCCGCAAGAATCGCTGTCTTGCGAAAAAATCGTCTTGTGAGGTTCCCTATGGGAATCTTGCAAGACAAATGAAATGTATTCATCTTGCGAGGCATCAGTCTCGGTGGGGGGGACCGTATTGCGAAGCATGGCCATAGAAGAAACTATCTTGCGAGGCACCATAGTGATCGCAAAAACCAATTGTCTTGCGTGTTTTTTGTCCCACGAGGCAATCGTCTTGCGAGGCACCGCTGTATTAACTTTTAGGGTTAGTTGTAAAACAGCTTTTCTGGGAGCAGAAAATACCCACACACACACACACACTTCTGTCCACATCTTTGGTTCCAAACCACTATTCTTGTACTTAATTGAAACATTTATGTGCAATTATTTTTCTTCATAGGCAGCTAACAAGTAAATGCACAAAACATGCTGCTGAGATATTCAAATTGTTGCATTTTCTTTTGTCCCTTAGGAACTGAATCCTGCCCCTGCAGACTGTTAGCATGTTCTGTGTCTGAAATTGTGACATAAAACTGTGGCATGAAATAATGCCTAGAGGGTTGATTACCACCCCAATTCATTGTTCTCTGAATGTTTATAATACATCAAACTATTGTTGCTTTTACAGATTACCTTTCTCAAGGAATAGATCTTTCTGGAATAGAAGTAATTGAAAACGACCTACTTTTTATTGCAAGAGCTCGGCTTGAGGTTGAAAACCAGGCGAAACGGTTGCTTGAACAAGGAATAGAGACCCAGGTAAAATATGATTTTCTTTCTCTCAAAATCAGATGAATAGGTGAATATAAGTCTACTCATGTGCAAACAGATGGACAGGTATGGGAGGTGGTGGTTAACATTGCAATATTCAGTCAGTTATGCTTCCTTAGATTACACTGGATCACAACTTGAAAACCTTACACTAACCTCAGACCGGGAAGCTCAATGCAGTATGCTTATCGCTGCACATATGCTTCTAATAAAATAATGGGCTATCAAATATGTGTTTTATTTAGCTCTAGTATATTCTTTGTGAGGAGGAAGTGTTGGCAAAAGTTTTTCCCCTCCCACCACTCTGATCTGAAATCCAGAGCATTAGTGGTTATGTTAGTTGAGGTAGGAGGACAACTGAATCTAATCTGTCTTCACGTCTTCTCCCTAACAGGTGATTGATGTCTCAGCAGAGCATTTCCTAGCCCTCTAGAGCAGTTTTTATTATGTGCATGGGAGGTTTTGCAAGAGGGTTAATCACCACCTTCCTATTTCCACTAGCACTAACCATAATATAATTTTATGTAATTTAGTGTAAATTTTGTCTATGGTATTTTATATTATCATTATATGGATAACAATCATTTTATTGTTTTTTTTCCTTAGTTACAGTCAGGATGGTTTTGTGGGGTTTTTTTGGGGGGGGACTTTGTAATGAATACTCCTAATTGTCCATGCATTTCAGAAAATGTCTTATTCTAGTTTGACACTCTCACTCTTATGAAAGTAGATCAATTCATGCAGTCTTACTTTTTGGTTCTGGAATAATAGATTTTAGATTATGTTGTGATTTTATTGAATTTGTTTAATTGGTATTATTACTTTATTTCTCAATATAGTTTACTCAATGTATGTTGCATTCTGCTTGAAAACTTTCAAGGGAATTTAATTACAGTCGTTTGGAATGTTTAAAACAGATTTCTGTTCTTTGCTTATACCAGGCACTGCTTAAAAATCAGACACAGTGGATGAACTCTTGTTGCTTTGGATAGTAAGTTGCAACTAGAAATTGGTATTATTACTTTATTTCTCAATATAGTTTACTCAATGTATGTTGCATTCTGCTTGAAAACTTTCAAGGGAATTTAATTACAGTCGTTTGGAATGTTTAAAACAGATTTCTGTTCTTTGCTTATACCAGGCACTGCTTAAGAATCAGACACAGTGGATGAACTCCTGTTGCTTTGGATAGTAAGTTGCAACTAGGGTAACCCATTGGATCAGTGGGGATTTGGTGTGTCAGCTCCCCCATAAGTTCTTGCCTACTTAAGGTGTGACTTACTATACTGAACAACAGGATTTGAACCAATTTGTACTATAATATATCTGATATTAGAAGAAGGGCAATCGCAATGTGTTTAGCTTTTCTCCTTGTTAAATTCTGTTGCTATGGAGAATATTCTGATTTATTTCAGACCTGCATTTTGGATTTACTTTTTGTCTTTTGGCTGTGACTGCATCTTGTATCATGGACATAAGAGAAGAGATTCTGAAGTAGAAAAACTAATCAAATCACTGGAAGTGATAACCTGTAAATTGAGGAGCGAAGTGGCATGTGTCACTTACATTCTTACAGCCCACATACTGAGCCCACAACTTTCCTTGCACCCATGATACTGGTACTCCATTCTGATGTCATGCAGCACACAGCTAAAACTGGAGTCAAGACAATTAAGTGGGATTGTTTTTTAAAAAATTGTTTTCTGGGCAGGTTCACACCACTATGGATTTGATTTTTTGATTATGATTTGGACACGTAATTTGCATTTGTTCTAATATCCTAAAGGTTTCCCCAGCCATCCCTCAACCCCTCCCTCCACTGTGCATGTACATAACAGTGGCTACTCAATAGGTAGTTATCTGAAGTATTTATTCTTGTTACTGTCCTTTTCATGTATCAAGTCTGACCTTTAACAGTTTTTCTCTCCCTCTAATAAATGCTGAAGTGCAGCTGACAAGTGAAACACTGGAAAATTAATCTGGCTTTATTTAATCAAATCAAATCAGTCAAATCAATCAAATAAATTTATTGTCATTGTAAGTATATACATAGTATACACATACAATGAAATTCACACAGACACCCATATTTGAGCAATTGACAGCCCGGTTGACGGTACATAAAAATAATCAAGAAATTATTAGTGTTTATGCCTGCTGTGTATGGCCAGTGACTTGTTTCGAATCAACACGATTATTTGGAAGACTTTTATTAGTCTTTTATTATATCTCCAGTGAAATGAAGATAGTAGTATCATGATGAAATTATGCTGGGTTTGTTTCCCTGGTTTTCTGACTTAAACAAGAGTATGTGATTTAAGAGGCCGTTCCTTGCTTACTGTTATGTGCAGGCAAGTTGGAACTGACTTAAAGCAACCCTAATAGGGCTTTCAAGGTAAGTGAGTTATTTAAGCAGTGGTTTTATCAGTCCCAGTCCCCCAGTGAATTTCCATGGCTGAGTGTGGATTTAAGCTCTGGCCTTCGAAGTTGTAGTCCGTCATTCTGTCCATTGCACTGCACCGCGAACCATTACTCTAGTCCGGAGAAACGTGCAAACAATTTAGAGCTGTGGTGCAGATGGTTTAGTAGAAAGAAAAGTGGCAGATATTGGATCCTTTCCCCCAGTCATTAGGTGGTGCTTTCAAGTTACAGAATGGCTGTTTAAAAAATGCAAATAATGTTGGTGTGCAAATTTTGGTAACACAGAACTGGTGACAATGAAAAGTAACTAAGCAGAGTTTCATGCTATCTTTACTTTTATAAAAGGATGCTTTTCCACGTTTGCTGTGTTTTTTGATGTTGTTGTCTGTTTCATAGTGACCTGATTTTCAAAGGAACATTAAAAAGCAAAGTGTGCTGCTTATATACCGCCCCATAGAACTTCAAGCACTCTCTGGGCGGTTTACAAATTAATTATGCAGGCAACACATTGCCCCCCCCCAGCAAGCTGGGTACTCATTTTACTGACCTCAGAAGGATAGAAGGCGGAGTCACCCTCGAGCCGCTACCTGGGATTGAACCCCAGGTCGTGAGCACAGTTTTGGCTGCAGTACAGCGGTTTAACCACTGTGCCACGAGGCATTAAGGAAATTAAAAGTTTCATTAAGGAAATTAAAAGTGAATTTTGTGTGATAATGGGAAAAATGCTAGTGAGGTCTTACTTCTCCTTTCCACACAACTTATAGAGGAACTCTAGAGCCAGAATAATTTCAGTGGTATGTGAAATTAGTGTTTTTATGTGTAAGACAGCATTTGCTATTCTTACAAATAATAATATAAATAATTTGCTCTTAATTGTGAATAACTATAGTATGACACTGCAATATCTACGACTGATATCTGGCATTTAAAAGAAAAGACAAAACTGGGTTTGGTGGGGTTTTTTGTCTTGTGCAATATGTAAATGCTCATAAAATGTGATCTAGCAAAGCAATTAGATTTTCATTCTAGGCTCACTCTGACTAATCAACTTGTTGCTCTAACTCTTGTAGTGCCTTTATTAAATTCACAGGCTTTAAATGTTTCAATTTTCAGACTTTTGTAATACAGTCCACCCCATCTCCCATTTATTAGTCTGAAATCTTGGTCAAAGGCTGAACCACAAAATGTGTGTTTAACTTTCCTTCACATCATTAGCAATCAATAGAATGGCAGAATTCAACTCCAATTCAGCATTATAAAAGCTGATGTGCACCAGACTGGCATTTGGCCTGTTAACAATAGAACACTTTTCTATCCTTGTAACATTGTGGCTATTGTGCTGCTTTCTTTTTATCATACAATAGGAGTCTCTTAATTTGGACCCACTGCTAAGTTCCTTATTGTCCTCCATTGAATAATAGGACTTTTAATAAAGTCTGAGAAGACTTAGATTCAAATAACTTGTGCGGTTGAATTGTGACCCAAGGAAGAAAATGGGACTTAACACCCATCATTATTGCACTCTTTGTTTAAAAGATGCAGAGGTCACAGCACTGCACCTTTTAAAATACCTGGTTAAATACAGTACCACTTAACTCCTTGACACTATCAGAGGCATTAACAACAGTTTGCGCATTAAGCAACTGTTTATATATAACTTATTCTTATTTGACAAACCATTCCCAAGGGGATAGCTTTAATCAAACAACTGTCTTAGGCGCATAACCAAAGTTTTGTTGTTGTTACCTGCTTCAAATTGCCTCCAACTTGTGGCAACCCTATTGAGCTATCTCCAGTATGTCCTGTCCTCAGCAGCCATATTCAGCTCTTGTAAACTCAAGTCTGTGGTTTCCTTAAGGGAGTCAATCCATCTTGTATTTGAGCTTCCTTTTTTCCTGCTGCCTTCAATCTTTCCAAGATTTATTATATTTTCCAGAGAATCTTGCTTTCTCATGATGTGCCCAAGGCATGACAACCTCACTTTTACCTCCAGAGATAGTTCAGACTTGATTTGATCTAAGTCCTGCTTGTTCATCTTTCTGGCAATCCTGAGTGTCTGCAAAGCTAATCATTTTTTTTCCCTGTCAGTTTTCTTTACTGACCAGCTTTCGCTCCCATATATACTGATCAAGAATACAAGAGTGCAGATGATCTTGGTCTTGGTTTCCAGTAGCACCTCCTTACACTCACCTGATGATCTTTTCTAATTCCTTCATTAGAGCCCTTCCAAATCTCAACCTTCTTCTGATTCCTTGGTTGCACTCTCCACTTGGATTGCTGATTGAATCAATGTATACACATCTTTCACTGTTTAAATTTCTTCATTGTCCACATTAAAGTTGTGTGGTTCTTCTGTAGATTTCTGTATTTTTAATGTTCAGCTACAGTCATGCTTTGACACTTTCTTTGTTCACTTTCATGAGAAGTCATTTCAAATCATTGCTGCTTTCTGCCAGTAAAATTGTGTTATCTTCGTATCTTATACTATCTATGTTTCTTCCACCCATTTTCATTCCACCTTCTTCTGAGTCTTATCTGGCTTTCTGTATTTGTTCTGTGTACAGATT